CAGGGTAAAAATGTCATCAGCAAGTAAGTAATTTCTATTTATATAGTACCTTTCAGAGATAAAAATCGCAAAGGGCTTAGCAATTATAACATAAATGATAAAAGAAAAAATCAAACAAATGATAAAAGCAACTCACTGGGTAAAATATAGTCTATAGCAGATAAGAAGGCATTATGGTAGAGACAGTGGAGCACAGATAAAAAATGCTTAGAATTTTACAAAAAGACAAACATTATCCAGTGTGCATTTATGCTGCGGAGCAAATTCTATTTGAAGAACACTGAAGTTTAGATATATGCTCTTCATATTTTAATAAAATGAAAGGACATTTTAGTATGAAAATTATGCCTTATTTAATGAAACTGAAGAGTTCATTTTATAAACTATATAATGTACGCAGAAGCAAGAAAAAAGAGCCCAATAAGAACCTGACTTTGGCAGTCCGACTAGATTAGAATCAGAACCATCCATTTTCCATCATGGTTTCCATCGTGAGGAGTGCTAGTGCCTATCTCCAGCATTCTAGCGGTGAGAGCCGGGGTACACCTTGGTCGCCAGTCCATTGCAGGGCAACACAGACACAAACAACCATTCACTTACGATTTAGAGAAGGCAATTAACCTAACAGTCCTGTTTTTTGACTATGGTAGGAAGCTAGAGAACCCATACATTCTCAGGGAGAACATGCAAACTCCATGCAGTTGAATCGAACCCAAACCTTTTTGCTTCAAGGCAGCAGTGCAACCCAATGCACCACTGAGCAGCCCACAATCAGAACCATGAATGATTTGTTACCAAGTAGTCTTTACACATAGAATGAATTTGTTTTGATGATGAGGTGCTACACATAGACACAGTAAATATAAAAAGATACAGATATTAACATTTTAGAATAAATGGTGGTTATTAAACAATAACAACAAGAACAAGAGTATAAAAAAAATTAGATTAGACTTTGCACACAAACACACATGGACTAAGATGGGTATTTATTGAGCACAAATGGAAAAACTATCTAGTATTGAAATAAGTTGTTTTTGTGGCAGGAGGTTTCAGTATCCAGAGTGGGAGGGGTCAGCTGTAATCTTTTATTCTCACCTCTGGGTTCTAGACATGTACAGTTCCTAAAGAGAAGGCAGATTCCAGCCAATCATCCTCTCTGCTGAATGAATGACTTGCTGTAACTTGTCCTTGTCTCTGTTAGTGTCAGCAGCCCTTTCCTTCCTCATTGATGGCACAGAAGAAGGGCACCATTATTGTCTTTAACAGGTTGAACTCTGGTTACCGCAGGGAGTGCATCCTCTACCATGCCTTCTCGGTGAAGGAGGTGACAATCAGCACTCTTTCAATGTCCTGTGCCATTATGGGACCCAGGAAGCCGAAGAAGCGTTCCAGGGCAGCTTGAGAGTCACACAAGATGATGAGGGAGCTCTTCCTAAAGTCCATGACCGTCTCCAATGTTTTCAGAATATTGAGCTCCAGACTGTTATGGCTGCGACACGTCACCAGTTGATAAATCTCCACCTGTAGGCAGACTACATCCCCTGAGAGATAAGTCAAATGATGATGGTTTTCAGACTGTTGCCTGGAGATGCAGCTGTTTGTGTACAGAGAGCAGAGCCGAAGGAAAAGAACAGTTTAAGGGGAACCGGTGCTGATGGTCCTGGACTCGGAGACCTGTTCTCCAAGCTGTCTGTCAGGAGGTCTGTGATCCACCTGCGGGTGGAGTCAGGAATGTCCAGCTGGGTGAGTTTGTCCTGCAGCGAGGTAGTGATGGTATTAAGAGCTGAGTAAAGGTCCACAAGCAAGATCCTGGCATATGTTTCTGGGAAGTTCAGGTGCTGCAGGTTGCAGTGAAGAGCCATGTTTATTGCATCATCATCAGACTTGTGGCTCTGTAGTTGATCTGCTGTGGGTCCAGAGGGGGGTTTGTGATAGATTTAAGGTGGGTAGGCATAAGATGCTTTAAAGGCTTCATTACCACAGAGGTCAGGGCGATTGGTCCACTGGTTTTGTGGTGCTAACTCTGATGAGTAAAGGGGGATGCACTGGTTCTGGAAAATGGCTTAGCTTATTTGCAAGAGGAGAGTCATTGATGTAGTGTCTGGCTTGATTGTTCTGTTTTTTCAAAATAATAATGAAAGCAACAGGTTGAATAAATTATAGCTGTAAAAAACCCCAGATGCTGCCAAATAAAAACATCACCATGAATTAGGAATACTTCCAAAGCTTTCCTTGCTGCACACTTCTATTTAAGAGCAACTTTAAAAAAGTACTTCTCTTTATAGTATTTTAGTGGAATGGTTCTAGATGAGGGGACAGCAGTAGAGGATGGAGGAGTAAGCATTTTGCCTTCATGCCTGAAGGGTACCTCTTTTGCTGTGGTGATGGCCTGTAATCGCTGCTCAGTGTTGTCGTAAGAGGCTGCAGCTGCAGGGTGGCTCCACTGGCTGCCTTTCAGCGTGTCACCAGTTTATGTGTCTTGTAATGGCTTGTTCACTCTGATCTTGAAGAATGGTCGAGTCATAAACTGGCAGCTTAGTCAATGGGCTTTTACTTGGCAGGGTGCAGAGGACAGAAAACCCTACTAACATGCAATTTGATGGCTCCTGGTTTAAGGTTTCCTTCCAATAGGATGGTCTCCGCAATTCATCTTCAAGAAAATTCCACATAAACTTCAAGCGTTGCTAAATAATGCTTTTTCTTATAATGTTAACACCACAGGGTTCTGTTTTTGTTATTAGCTTTTTTTAAGATAAGCATAACAAACCTTATCATGCTGTAATTGTGAAGTCGTTTTTAAACATATTTTTCATATTTATATTTTACAAATAAAAGTCTAAAAGAGGTGTTTCCCATGCATTTATTTCCATTTGATAAATACTACTTAGAATTAACTTTTGCTTTTTATTAGCTTTAAATATTTTTTTCTATATCACTACCAGTTTAAGAGACTGATTTTTTTTTTTTGTGTATTCCCTAAACTTTTACTGGCCCATGTCATTGCAATCCTGAATGTTTAGGGGTCCTGTGCTAAGGTGAACACCTTATTTGGTCTTATTTTTTTAAGTTTCCAATAGGCTTTATTCTAATATCAGCCATTTATTAAGTTTCATCCATAACCCCACCCAATCTTACCAGATTTCCTTACTTTTTCCTAGAAAGGTATCCCAAAAATACAGTGATTCCACCATGTTGTTAAATCATGTGATAAGCTTGATGTGCAGTACTACTTTTTGCATACCAAATATTAGAATGTTGGCCTAAAGTGCAGCGTCAGGCAGCTCCTCTAGACTAGCCATGTGTTTGTGGTTTCTTCTCCCATTGATATTTTATGGAAATGCGGGTCGAAGGCCACATCTTGTTGGATTTGCAGTTGCAACATTCACGTTCAGTTTACAGATAGTGGATTGAACAGTCAACTGCCGGTTGTGTTTTTTGCTGTCATGATGCAGCACTTTAGGCAATGCAATTTTATTTATATAGCACAATTCAATACAAATACTATTAAAATAGCTTTACATGAATTAACAATAGAATAGAAGAAAAATATAAGCAGAATAAAAGCAAGCAGTGTTAAAACATGATAAAGGCAGACAGTAAAACAAGCAAAACAGTTGGACCACAACTTTAAACTAATAATACCTCAGTTAACAATTTAACTTCAACAGTCGAAGTCAGCTCTGAGCAAACAGGTTTTTAGCTTTAACTGAAAAGAACTCAGCCTTTCAGCACTTTTACAGTCTTCTGGGAGTTTGGTCCAGATAAGTGCATCATAGGAACTAAATGCTGCTTCTTCATGTTTGGTTCTAGTTCTAAGTGGAACTAGAAGACCTGAGTGGACTGGGAGGTTCATACACTGAAAACCTTTGGGATAATAGAGAAATAATAAACAGATTGCTAAGAAAGTTTTCATGGTTCTGTTGGTAAAAACGCACAAAATATTTTTTTTTTCCCATTTTACTTTAGGTGTGATCATGAAACTGAGCCAACAGTTTGCTCCTATGATAAATACTCAGACTTAAAGAATTCAAGCAGCATTCTCCTCTTATAAAGCTTAGCGAGGGGCACCCCATAGGGGGCACTGTTGATTCTTATGACTTGGTCATGGTACAACAGGTTGCAGCACTCTCACTGTGCTGCTGTCTACATCCACTGCACGCTTAAAAAAAAAAAAACATCCTGATGACTCCGTGTGGATATTAAACAGACATGTTTACTCTTCTGGCTGATAAAACTCTATACATATTAAGTGTTAACACTTTAATCATGCATTACTGTCTGTATTGTATTCAAATATGTCCAATCTGGATTTTTTGTTGTTGTTTGCTTGTTTTTGTTCAAATTTACACAAATAGCTTTTTCAAAAAATCTAAATAATGTAAAAAAAATAAAAATAATTGTGGATTATCCCGGCTACAAAAACGTCACATTCAATGCACATATTTAAACCCAACAGGAAAAAAAGAAAGTTATTCTCGTTTTGAGATGCGGGGAATCTCATTCTCAATCTTTTCAGGGCTTTGGGCAGAAAAGGGGCCAATCTTTAGTTGAGGGTTTTATGGCACACTACTTTGCTTATGTGACGCCCACAATCCACTTTGCCACACCAAGCTAGAAGCTTGCTCCCCTCCATCGCCTTTCATCTCTCTTCCTTCCTTCCTTCCTTCCCCCTCGGTGTAAACCCCAGCTTAGTTTCTGCACCAGCATCCACATCCACGGAGTGCGGAGCGGAGCCAAGTGGCAGCAGCGCGCACAGGAACCACTTCACCGCCTCATCTCACCCGATCTGCGCTCCCAATTTGCGGCATGGAAAGTTGCAGGACCGCGTCTGAGAAATCGTAGAATTTTATAGGTGATGTTTCAAGCAAATTGGACAGATTTCTAACTGATCTTAAAATAATAAGAGAGGGGGGAAAAAGAGAAACATATCGGCGGAGGAACTCTTTACCACGCGCAGATTGTCTCACTGGAATTTATTTTATATTTATTTTTATTATTTTTTTGCTGCTGCTGTCGCACATGAAGAATTTGCAACCTTAATTTAAACTGGAATCATATGTAAACATCGGATGGAGTCTCTACTAGATGAGTTAAGGTAAGAGGCGCAGGAAAAGAAGCAGCGCGTCACTTTCTCAGACTTGAATCGTTTCTTGAGCATTTGGGAAAACAGTTTTCCATTTACTGGCTTGTAAATTAAGGCAATAAACACACCGAAACAAACCTATAAATACAAAAAAAAAAAAAAAAAAAAAAAAAACAGATTAAAGTTAATTTATAAATTCTGCTGTATCTGTATTTTGGATAACATTGTTTTGCTAAATTCACTTTCTCCTCTGTGGAATCAAATCATAATAACTAAGTCTTTTTTTTCTTAAAATAAGTGCATTGAGGGGGAAAGGGAGATACTATGCCAATGGGACAAAACAATTTACATTTAAAATAAGAAAAATCCATTGCATGGTCACATTTCAAGTGCATATTATCTAATTATTTTATTTTAAGAGTAAAAATACTCATTCCATTGGCAAATCATCTTATTCACCTGTTCAAATTAAGCGTAAATACACTTGATTTGAGACATTTTTACTCATTTGTAGATCATTTTTGCAGTGTGGATAAGTATGGGGTTTCCAGAAAGTTTTCAAACAGACATATGACTAAAAAGAAATAATTTGAAATCGATCTCTATGATGGAGAAAAAATACTAAATGCATATTTAAGAAAATAGTAGGCATCTAAGACTATTTAATGGCTTCTTTAGCTGTGGGCTTTTCAAGCTATTTCTGGGAATTGTACTGATTGTGTATGTCTTTCACCACAGGTTGAGTCGTACAAAATACGCAGAGTGTTTTTCCTAAATGGATATCTGCTCAGAGGGGATTATTGGTGTGCAAAGTAGCGCTGCTTCTCACTGAAAAGGAGTTACCCATTCAGGTCCCCCCCTCCTGAATAAACCATGGGGCCACGGCAGTGCGTGGGACTCACCCTGCTCTTCCTCTGCACAGGTAAACCCTCCTCTCCATCTCTGGAGCTAAAACCTGCTGCTTAACAAACGTGTCTGTAGCTTTTGCTTGGAAAGCTTTACAAGGTTTATGAAAATGAAAGCTAATGGTCATGAAATAATAGACACTGTAAATACATCAACCTTTGTTTTCCTAAGTGATTTCATCCAGTGCAGAACTCTTAATGAAATGCAAATTGTATCTTTCAGCCAACAGCACATATATAATTTATGAGACATATAATTAGCTGTAAGCTGTTGTGGCAGAATACAAAATGACTTGTAATATTAACATGAATGAAGTGTGACAGTTGTCTCCTGAGTGTGTGTGTGTTTAGGTGTTGTAGCAGAGCACTGGAATAGGATGCAGAGTGTGTGTGTGTCTCTAAGTGAGCGTGGGTCTGCAGATTTTGGTAAATAAAAACAGACTGCAGTCAAAGGCAGAAAAAAAGAGAGGACGTGCATTTTTTAAAAAGGTACAGATTTGCAGTAGATAAGCATTAATGAATCTGTGCCTTTATTCCCTGATGGTGCACACTGTCCTGTTGGGGAGGGCAAGTTTTTTATATTTGGAAATCTACAGTCATGTACTGTAGTTAAAATACATAAACAGAAAAGAGATGATTCCTCTGATTTAATGTTGTAGATTAATTAAACGTCTTCCACTAATGGTAGAGAATGACACAGACATGACGGGCAAAAATCTTCTTATACGCTTTTTTAAAATCAAATTTATTGCGTCTTCTTTTTTTTAATCCTTTTTAAAGTGATTTATGTGGTAATTTTATTATTAACACATCATCTCAGGAATCTGAAAAGGCAGCACGTTTTGGTAAATGTGAATCAGTCGTTTGTATGAGCAAACAAAAAGCAACAAGGAGGTTATGGATGTCATTTTTAGACACACAAAGAAAAGCTTTTTTGCTCCTGTTTTCAACCTAATTTCAGTTTGCAGTTTTCAACAAAAGATGCCAAAACAATTGCTGTTCTACTGTTCTTTGGGTTTTAAAGTGACATTTTCTCTTTCATGCTTATAGTGTCTTGCAAAGGCACTTAGACCTCTTGAACTTTATCACAATTTGTCACATTAGTACTACATATTTGAATGTTCAATGATTTAATGTGACAGACTGATACAAATTTGGAAGTAAAAAAAAATATTATACATCAGTATTTTCTCGACAAAAAAACAAGTAGAAGTTTGGTTTGCAATCAATACCTACATTTTTTTATTTAGCTAAACATCCTAACTATATTCGAAATGCATCTGTAAGTCTGCCTAAGTGTGTCTCCAAGTTTAGAGACCAACTTTTGAGTCCTTTCCTCTTTTCAAAATATCTCAGTTCAGTCATCTGGTATGAAGAGTCTGTATTGATTCTAAAGGTTTTCATCAAATCCCAATTGGATTTAGCTCTCGACCATCATTCTATTCTAAAACATGAACATGCTTTGATTAAAAACTATTCCACTGTTGTTCTGGCTGTTAGATAGAATGTAAAAACCCTAGTCTGAAGACTTTTGCATCATCTTTTGATGTATTGACGTATTACAAGTCAAAATAAGAGACTTGCTCACCTTTAGACCCATTCATCCTACCAAAGTTTATTCTAATGTACAGTTAAACATACGCATTTTATTTTTCAATGCAGTCAAAAGTCCAAAATCATTTTTAAAATTTCTTCAGCATTCAGGATTTGCAGAAAATACAACAGTGGTTTAGATATGAAGCTTTATTTTAGATATGAAGCTTTATTTTATTTAGTTTTAGGTGTCATTCTCTGTACTTTATTGATTTTCAGTATATAATTATAGGTTTATTCATCTATTACAATTGATGAATGAAACGATGTTCTATGAACTCAAGTTTTAAAAGCTGAAATGTATAAAACTATTTTGGTTTATAGAGAAAAAGTTGATATGTTATCACATAGGCTCATTGACCTTCTTTCATTGTTCTTTATATTGTTCATATAAATCCATTTGGGCTTATTAGTATTATATATAACAAAAAACTCACCAATATAGGGCCAATATAGCAGTAGTTGTTTACTGCATATTGAAGTACAGTACATGAAAAAATTATTGATATAAAAAATATTTAAATGATTGAGTGCTAAATTCGCAGTTAAGATAAGGAATGTGCTATAATTTTAGAGGAAATGTCACATGTTCACTCAGACAGTGTAATAATTTCTACTACAGATCACTTTAGAGGAACTTGGTGGAGGTTTTTGGCAGTCTTGAACCTTCAGTAATGTAAAATAATGTAAATAACAATGAAAGAAAATCAGCAACCTTCTGGTGGTTTTGTTGATTAAATGTATATATATATATATATATATATATATATATATATATATATATATATATATATATATATATTCTTTAGAGAAGATAGGACAAAATTGCATTTTTTTACATTGCCAGAAAATAAAGCAGATAAGTTCTAAAAAGAAAATCACAAAAGTTTTACACCCTCACATTTCTCCGAAAAAGTCCTAAAGTGTGAAAAGGGATATTTATTTTGTTGATGTGACAGCTCATGTAATATGTTTGGTTCTCTTCATCCATACAATCATTTTTTTTTCTACCTGCTTATCCAGTTCAGAGTCTCTGTGGGGCCATCTCAGCAGTCTGGCGAGAGTCAGGGAACATCCTGGATAGTCTTTTTACTGTCTGGGAGCAAATACAATAGCTGACGAAGGCAAAAAATCATGCATATATGCTCTCATATCCGAGGGCCTATTCTAGAATTATCATGTATCTTTTTAGTTTATGGGAGGCTGCTGAAGTATCCCCACTATTCTCCACATTTAATACTGATTTGTGACATAATTCCTCAACTTCTCATTCTTTTTGAAGGCCTAACAGTGCTATACCATACTGTAAAAAATAATTTTTTGCTCTTGTGAAACACAAGTACCTTAAAAATGATTGGGGAAAAAACTAATCTATCCCTCCTGTCCCTATCTAAACAGGAGCTGCACTCTTTTTAAATCTTGAATTGTCCCAGATTAACTAACCCCATTTTTCTGTAAAACTATTCCATTGGCAGTTTAAGCTTCTCTGCACAGAGTCTCTTCCTCGCAGGGAGTCTGTAAAAATAATTTAAATAAATAAAAAAAAGTGTATCCAGACACCAATCCAACACCATATAATTTAAAATAGGAGTTAAAATAGGAATGTATTTACTGCTTAATCCCATTGGTGGTGGTTCTGAAATGGTTCTTCTTCACTGCTCAAGAAAACTGCTGTTCTATGCTACCACCTGCTGTTTTAGATTGGTGAACAGCTGTTCACCTGACACCTGTCGGAGATGTAACTTGCTACTACTACTGGTTTTTATACTCTTCCATTTAAAAACAATAAATGGTTTAAATTTCAGTCATTTCAATTCAGTCATGTTTCCATTCAAACGTTTATCCTCAGCCAGGCATTACCACAATGAAAATTGTATCAGTCACACAGGCGTAGTATAATTACAAATATTTTTTGTGAAAAACTGGTATTGGTACTCAGTATTGCTTGATACTCACAGCACAAGCATAGGAACCATGCTCTGAAAAAAACATCTTATATATATATATATATATATATATATATATATATATATATATATATATATAACTGCTTGGTTCCTTTTCCCCATTCGTTCTATCTTCATGTTATGCAAGTGGAGGGTATCAGATTCACTGTTTAATAATAGAAAGTTCTGGATCGGGAGTTCTGGCTTCACACCTTTTACATTTCTATAAGTGAAAAAACAGAAGTGATGGTTTTTGGTGGAACATTGGAGACATCCAGCACTCTGAGTTCTCTAGTACTATAATTAAAATGGATGCAGATCTTAAACTTAGAAGCCAGAAACAGATTTTATTGATTTGAGGCAGTTAGCCAAGAAAACTGCGGATTTTAAACACACTTTTCTACACTGCCAATGTTCCAACAGTTTGTCAGTTGCTGAACCAGAGGAAACAAAACTTCTTCAGATCAAAATCTTATTTTTCTCTCCTCAGAGTATAAGTCAATTTATTAAAGATAACCTGAATTGAAAAGAACTGTAAGAAGATGGTCGAATAAAGATAAAGAAGCCCTGCAAGGTTGTTTTGAGGCTACAGGGTTGGTTGAACTTTATCAGGACACCCGTGCAATGACTGTGTGGAGCTCACTACATAAACTTCTGTTTATATAACACTGTCCCCACCAGAACAGCAAAATGCTTCTTCAGTAATAAACCCTGGATCGCTAGTTATCTGAAGGAACTGCTGAACAAGAAAAAAGAGCAATCAAGAGTAAAAACTGAGAGTTATTAAGGAGTATACACGTTGAGCAGTCAAAGTAACAAAAACTATAGAGTGTGTTCTGTAAAAGTTTAAAAACACTGGACAATCCACTGGACTGCGGTTCCAGACATTTGAATTGAGAAAGCTTCCTGGAGGGGAAGCGAAACGTCTTCAAATTTTAGAAACCAAGTCCAGTGGATTGTTTTAAAACTTTTACGGAATAACTATGACCTGGAAGACTGAGAATCTTCATCAGCATATAGAGTGTGGTACTAGTTTTCTCATATTCAGTGGGAATAGTTTCTTTTTTTCCAATTGTTCTGACATTATAGTTTTTTTTTATCATTATTGATTTATTCTATCATATGTTATATCTGAATGCTCAAAATTTAATCGACTAAAAACTTTTTATGGGAAGCACAGAGCCTGGAGGAGAGAATTTTACTTCTGTATTGTTTAATTTTGTATTTGTTCTGTTCGTATCAAATCCATAACAGAGTGGCTACTTTTTGGATGAGTTCTTTCTTTCCACCTTATGTTTGAGGAGATAAAGCACTGCTGCATGGTGGCACTGAGGAAAAAAAAGCTGCAGCTGTAGGGAGTAAAAAAAAAAGCTCTTAAAAAACAATCGTTGAAGGCCTGAGTCTATCGTCGATGGTCAAAATATTCACCCAATTGCCTAACCTTAGTACGGACCATAATTTTGTCTGAGCGATAAACA